TAGAATATTTCAATATTTATGTATTTAATCTCCATTTTATTTTATTTTATTTCTCAGCATAGCAATGCAATACCAATTACAATAAATAAACTAGTATTTTAAATATTTTAAACATTCTCAACTTGAAACCCAGTCAACCAAAAAAAAGTCTAGTTAAAAGTAGTTTCTTACTACAGATTGAACCTCTCTAGTCCAGCACCCTTTGGACCATACCCATGCCAAACCAGAAAATCTGCCAAACCACAGAAGGTCAACATTGTAGCGAGAGAGTTTCTCTGTTTTTATTTTACCAAGGCAAATAAATGGAACAATGCCTGCAATGCTGTTAATAATGCATGATTGTACTAATACACCCTATATAAGCTTATGCCTAGCCAAAGCTTATCAGCTCTCTTGGTAACAAAGTGTTAGTGTTGTTACATAATATTACTGTATTGGCACAAGGAAATAAGTAAATAAAGCATAAAAACATGCTTATGCCTAGCAACATTACCAGAACTTCCACTGGTTGTTGGTCTCAGAAGACATTTAGGAGTAACTTAGAGCTAAATTACAGTACAGAACACTGAGAGCCAGGACTGGTGGATGTAAACAAACTTTACAGGACCATGGGAAACTTGGCCATATCCATGATAAATGGACAACCAACTAACTAAAATCATGCCAGGCCACAGATGTTGCCGGGCTAGAGAGGTTCAATCTGTGTACCAATCATTTAGTCCCCCTCTCAGGTTTTGAGTTTGATCCAGTCATATCATCCTATGTTTTAAAAATACTTTTTCTCTAATGTTGCTCTCTGAAATTTTCACATAAACAACAGAGAAAACAACTAAGGACCTACTCTTTCATCCACAGAAGTTAATGGAAGTTCTGTCATTGGATTTCAGTAGTACATGATTAAGCATCAAATGACTATACCAGGGGTTGGCAACCTACATCACACGTGCCATAAATGACACACGAGCCAATTCTGAGTGGCACGTGCGGTGGGAGCTCAGACCCCAATGGGATCCTCTCTCCAGCAGGGCTGGACACCCCCGGGATCACCCACTTGCCCATTCTTGCCTTGCCCATTTTCCTGAACCCCACCCTCTCCCAAGCCACCTTGACCCCATCCTGTGCTGGCAATCCAGAATCGCCCCCTACCCCCGCGAGATTGGAGCCAGCGCTGGCTTCCTGCAAGTCAGGGAAGCCCCAAGGCTCCGCGCTGCATCCAGCTTCCGGAGAACCATGCATGTGTTGCTCCTCCCTTCCCCACAGGAAAAGCCGGAGTGGAGCCCAGGACAGGAGACCAAGTGGGGCACACAGTGGAGAGAGTCCCTTCCCCTTCTTCCGGGAGAGCGGCACAAGCCAGGGCAGGAGAGTTAAATCTTGGCATGCCACTTTGAAAAGGTTGCTGACCCCTGGACTATGCAATGAAAGTGACTGTACACAAGGGCTGTGTCTAGACTGGCCAATTTTTTCGGGAAATCAGCCACTTTTCCCGAAACGCTTGAATTTCCGCAAAAGCACTGACTTCCTACTGTAAGAAATCAGTGCTTTTTGCGGCCAGTGTAGGCAGCTGAGATTTGTTTTGCGCAAAAAAGCCCCGATCGCAAAAATGGTGATCAGGGCTTTTTTGCGCAAAAGCGCGTCTAGATTGGCCACGGACGCTTTTCTGCAAAAAGTGCTTTTGCGGAAATGCGTCCGTGCCAATCTAGACGCTCTGTTCCGCAAATGCTTTTAACGGAAAACTTTTCCGTTAAAAGCATTTCCGGAAAATCATGCCAATCTAGACGTAGCCAAGGAGTGAAGCCTCCCACTGAAGTCAATACCAAAACTTCCATTGAACTCAATGGGGCCAGGAGAGCACCCAAATGTTCAAAGGGAAGAAATTTGGTGGGGAGAAGAGTAAAAGGAACAATTTTAGTTATTTTAATTACTAGATATGAGTGATGCTTGTATCAGTTAGTTGCTTACAGATTTTCAGATGCAAGTATTAGATTTTTAAGTTGATATCTCTTTAAGATGTCTAATCATATAGCAATGTTTACAGATTTATAGCAGGAGGATTTAGAAAAGCTTGTTTCAATATGTTTTTAAGCCATGAAGAAAAATTGCATGTTCCATTATTAATCTTCCTACTTAAACTATCCAATTCATTTATACCAGAAAGGAGGGGAATATGTTTTTTAAAGGTATAAAACCAACATTAAGTTTTTCATTACACTAGGAAATATCTGTGGAACCCAACAACTGAAGACCTGGTGAGAGAGTTACAGGGTTTTATTTTAAGTGTGTGTGTGGTGTGTGTGCGCGCGCATGCAAAGAAGAAATATAGAGAAATATAAAGTATATTACCACTACTTTTCTTTTTAGGTGGTAAATTATGATTGGGATAAGTATGGTTGTCTAATGGATCTTCATTATGCAACACCTTTTCACCCTAATATTGCCTTGTAAGTATAAAGCTTCATTCCCACACTGCTACATAGTTCTCTGAGGCTGTAGGGGGTTCTCTAGCCAAATGGCAAGAGTAACAGTAGCAAGCCCAGCAGTGATGAGTAGTGGGGAAGAGATACAAAGGGAGCACCAGTGAAAGGGGGAGGGGAACGTAACCCTCCCACGTGACTCATCCCTGCTCCTCCACCCCACGCTGTCCCCAACCCACGTTACCTGGTATGGTGAGGGTTTATGCTCTGTTTATCCTGCTATGCTGGCTCCAATCCCCTTGACATATGGATCCACTAATATACTCTCCCAGGCAGCCTCTGGCCACGCTGCCTGCCTGGGCAGCATGGCCAGAAGAGGAAAGCCCTAGCCCCTTCTCTTCCCTTCTGGCTTTGGCTGCTAGTCTCTTCCCTCCCAGGTGTTTGACAAGGGTCAAGTGACCTTTCCTGCCTGTCCCCATTGTTGCCTAGCCCAGTGCTGGAGGAAGGAATATCCTCCTTGCAGCAGATCCTTTGGTCCCACCCATGATTCTACATCCTATTTGCCCATAGTGCACTGTTGTGTAGGGAGTCTTCAAAGAAAAGTCTTTGTACTGTACATTCCCTGCTTGTTCTTTTCTCCTTTTATACAGCAGCATAGGTGACTCATGGTAGAATCCAGGACATGCACTGCCCCCTTACGGTGGCGGCCCATCAATACAGGTGAACTAGGCTGTTGCCTAGGGTGCCAAGATAAACGGCCATTGAGGGCTGTGGAGGCGGGAGAGCCGATCACTTGTTTCGCCTAGGACGCCAGTTGCCGGAAGCTTGTCTAGGGTTGCTCCTGCCCCCTTATGCCCTTGCCAAAATGTTGATTACTAAATGGGGTGCTTTCTTATGTTCCCTCCCTGTTCCTATGTGTGGCCCTCCCTGTACCACCGCCCCTTGCTTGCACCAGTCATCTATGCACAGCAGCAACATACTGTCCATGTTTCCCTCCAGGGCTAAGGAGTGGGAGGTATTTGCCCATTTACATGCTTTCACTGAAACATTATATTATATCTATATTGTTTATAGATATGATGGCACCACATTTGTTGAAACAGTTGAGGCAAATTTTATATTGTGGGAGATTCATGGCAGAAGTGACTACAGTTACAACTCAACTATGAAGCAGGTAAGGCATCTTTTTATTTAAATTACATTTGTTGAAATATATCTATGTGGATGGGTAAATGCAATGTTTGTTTTTATACACAGAATCATAGAATACTAGGACTGGAAGGGACTTTGAGAGATCATTAAGTCCAGTCCCCTGCCCTCACAGCAGGACCAAGCAACGTCTAGATCATCCCTGATAAGTGTCTGTCTAACCTGCTCTTAAATATCTCCAGTGATGGAGATTCTACAGCCTCCCTAGGAAAGTCATTCCAGTGTTTAACCACCCGCCAGTTAGGAATTTTTTCCTAATGTCCAACCTCAACCTCCCTTGCTGCAGTTTAAGCCCATTGTTTCTTGTTCTATCTTCAGAGGCCAAGGAGAAAAATTCCCCCCTGCTCCCATGACACCCTTTTAGATACCTGAAAACCGCTTTCATGTCTCCTCTCAGTCTTCTCTTTTCCAAACTAAACAAGCCCAATTCCTTCAGTCTTGCCTCTTGTTTTCTAGAACTTTAATCATTTTTGTTGCTCTTCTCTGGACCTTCTCCAATTTCTCCACATCTTTCTTGAAATGTGGTGCCCAGAACTGGACACAATACTCCAACTGAGGCCTACTCAGTGCCGAGTAGAGCAGAAAAATGACTTCTCGGCTGTGTCTACATTGGCATCCCTTTCCGGAAAAGGGATGCTAATGAGACACTTCAGAATTGCAAATCAGTGGGGGAATTTAAATATAGAAAAGTGCCAGTATATCCCTTTCAAGTAGGAATAAGGGATCTTCCAGAAAAGGGCTTATTTTCCGGAGAATCGCGTCTACACTGGCGCTTTTCTCCGGCAAAAACCCCGAGACGGAAAAAAGCGGCAGCCATGTAAATGCAATTGCCTCGGAGGGATATTTAAATCCCCCGTGGATTTGCAATTCCAAAGTGTCTCATTAGCATCCCTTTTCTGGAAAGGGATGCCAATGTAGACACAGCCCTTGTGTCTTGCTCACAACACTCCTGTTAATGCATTCCAGAATCATGTTTGTCCTTCTGCTATACATGTTCAGTCCTCTTCACCCTTTCTGAATCAGTCATTGACTTCACTGGTGTTGGTTCAGGCCTTTTACCTGAATTATCTTTTGCTGAATCTTCACCCATAGTATGGGAATGTGGGGCTCAGAGAACAATCTGAAAACAGTTTGTAAAAGAGCCATACTATTATGGGGCCTGGAGCCTTAGGAGTTAGTCCTTATAGAAGTTAAGTCAGTCTACAATCCTAAGTGCTGCAGTAGTCAGTACCAGAATGGCCAGGATTGATGAAGGAGCACTTGTGGAGGGTCATTGTCTTGCTCCTCAGCTGTCTAGCATCACACTTTGTTTTGCATTTTCATTGTTCCTTGGACACCATATGTTTTACTTAAAGGATATGTCTGCACTACAGAGTTTTGTCGGAAAAATAACCATTTTTCCAACAAAACTTGAGGAACGTCCACACTGCAATTGCATTCTTCTACAAGAAAATCAAAAGAACAGAGGGTTTTTTCCCAGCATTGGTAATCCTCATACTATATGAGAGAAGCCTTTTTGCAAAAGAGCTCTTTTGCAAAAAGGTGTGTGTGGACAGGGAAGAGGGAGTTCTTTCAGGAAAAGGAAAAACCACAAGTTCCCTGGTGACCATTCCATCTGTGCAATCGCAGCCTACATGGAAGAGAGCGTCCATTCTGTCTGAAACAAAAACAGGACTATGTAGCACTTTAAAGACTAACAAGATGGTTTATTAGGTGATGAGCTTTCGTGGGCCAGACCCACTTCCTCAGATCAAATAGTGGAAGAAAATTGTCACAACCATATATACCAAAGGATACAATTAAAAAAAATGAACATATATGAAAAGGATGAATCATTTTTTAATTGCATCCTTTGGTATATATGGTTGTGACAATTTTCTTCCACTATTTGATCTGAGGAAGTGGGTCTGGCCCACGAAAGCTCATCACCTAATAAACCATCTTGTTAGTCTTTATCTTTATTCAAACTTAAGTGTAAAGTGTCAAATTTGAGCATGAATGACAGTTCAGAGGATTCTCTTTCAAGTGTAGTCTTAAAAGGCCTTTGAAGCAGGATGCAGGTAATCAAATCGTTGAGACAATGTCCCTTCTGGATGAAATGGCAAGAAACTGTTTTTTCTTTGTGATCCTGTCTAATATCTGTTTTGTGGGCATTGATTCTTTGGCGAAGTGTCTGAGACGTCCAATGTACATAGCAGACGGGCACTTTCGGCACATGATAGCATAAATTATATTTCTGGACGGATACTCTTTTGAAAAAGCAGTTCGCTTTTTCGATGCACTTTTGCAGTATGAACGCTCTCTTTCAGAAAAAGTTTTTTCGGAAGATCTCTTCTTCTGAAAGAAGCCTGTAGTTTAGACATAGCCAAAGTTATGTCTACTCTGCAATCAAAAATCCATGGATGGCCTATGCAAGCTGACTTGGAGTCATGGTGCTCAAGCAATGAGGCCACTTAATGGTAGTGTAGACATTTGGAATGGGTGGAGCTGGGGCTCGAGAACCCTATGAGGTGAGGGGGTCTCAGAGCTCAAGATGCAACCCGAGCCCAAATGTCTACATCTAACACCGCAATTAAACAGCTCATCACCTCACATCCCATTAACCCAAGTCTAATTGCAATGTAGACATCTCCTAAATGCTTCACTGTGACAATCCCCTTCTTCTTTTAATTACTGCCCTTCTGGTACCAACTCCTGACTGAATGTACTACTCAGACATTTTAGGCACTGTACTTGTTCCTTTTCCTTCTCAGAATGTATTTCTGCTATGGCTATAATTTACATGAGCACAGTTTACATCTCATGGTCAATTCATGAAACATTTATTTCATTCTGATTGGTGTTGCCTACTTCAATCAGTGCTTGAAACTTGAAGCCCCACTTCATGTTAACATTATTATTATTGTTAATACTGTTACTATAATACTTTATTATAAACAAACGTGCCCCTTAAGGACAGAATCTTTCCCCACATATATTTTGTTGCCTTAGATTTGTACTGTGGTACTTTCTCTATAAGAGCTATATAAGATAAATAAATAAAATATACAGAACCACAATGGCCAACACCCATGTATTACCCTTCAGAAAATAACAAAGGGATAGAGAACTAATACCTTTTTATTTTTTGCCTTTGAATTCTTTTAAATAGGTGGGCTGCTTGCGTGAAGCACAGACTTGGATTTCAATGCTTGAAGAAAATAAAAACAGACCATTAGATGAAATATGGAGTCCACAGGTAGGAAGTTATTTACAAATAGCTTATGGAAAATATGAATGAAATCTGTAGCTGCCTTACTTGGCATTTTCACAGTATTAATATTGGGGGAAGCGGGAAATCTAATTAAATAATAATAGAGCAAGTGGAATACAAGTCGGATGACAATACAGTAATGATCTGACAATGCTATGAAAGGATATTGTTATTCAGAAATTCACTAATCCCCTGTTGTCATGTGCCTGGTTGAAAGAAAATCATAAACATCATTTAAATAAATGAGTGTACTAAAACAGGGGTTCTCAATCTTTTTTTCCCTGAGGTCCCCCAACATGCCATAAAAACTCTTCAGCCCACCTCCCCCAATATCAACTGCTCTGCTGCATATAAAAACCAGGTCAAGAGTTAAATATTGGGAGTATCCCAATTGTATTGGGTTACCCGTCACCCTAATTCTATCAGACCAGAGGTCCAGACTGAATAGCCACCTAACAGCCACTTCAGCATGCTGTGTATTTCATCTTAATATGCACCAGCTGTGCATTAAAGGTCTCACATTTGGGAGTAAAAATTTTGGGCATCTCTGGAGGTAGAGGAAGTTAATTACAGGCAGTCCCCGAGTTACGCAGATCCGACTTATGTCGGATCCGTACTTACGAATGGGGCTTTTCTCGCCCCGGAGGACGCGGGTGGCGGGACCCACCGCCCACGTCCTCCAGGGCAAGACAAGCGGCTCCGTGTCTCCCTGGTCTGCTGGGGAGGGGCGCTAGCTTCGCGTCTGCCTGGTCTGCGGGGGGGAAGCAGCTAGTGCGGGCTTGCCTCACATCG